TTGAAGCATATTCTTAGGAAGCTCACGTTTTAATACTTTTGTTGCACCTTGTCACATTGAAATGTTTCAAAATGCTTGACAGGTAAATACAATTAGGTTCAGTGACTTTTTGTAGACAAAAAACAATCATTTGTGACATCAAGGTGTCACAAACAGCTGTGGAGTGAACAACCAATTATTCTAAAGCATTTTTGACAAGTATGTTTGGGAAAAAATCCTTTATCATTTCAAGTATTGTCATGAGATCTTTAATATCTATGCAGAACAGGCAGGCGAGACCTCAGCTTAACGTCTCATCCAAGGGACAGCACCTTTGACAATGCAGCACTTCCCCTGTTCTGTAGTGGAGTGTCTGTCTTGACTGTGAGCTCAAGTCCTATAATGGAGTTTGAACTTATAACCTTCAAAGGGGTAGGTTCTTACAGTAGCTTGTTTGAGACTCCCATGCCTCTCAGCAGCAGGAGAATACTTTAAACTCCCGTCCACAGTACAGGTAATTAAATCTCAGTTTATTATTCCCATAAAAAATAGCTATGAAAAAATGACAACTTCCTATTGAGGCAGGCTGCCTCTTGAATGCACACAACTGATGATTGGAAGGAAAGAACGGTTCCTTTGTCTGCTGGCTTGAAATGTATGTATTAAAATGGATTATATTTGGATATATACAGCTGATAATGTATAACAACATTTGCATGTATATTAGCACCTTTCATGTGGGGCAGAGTTTCGGAAAGCTTGTCTTTATTCTTCAGGCAGTAAAATTACTGTTGCCTATGAGGGACACTGTGAAACATCTAGGCCATGTGGAACCTGCACAGGGATCAATTGATACTGACACTTGATACCAAGAGGAAAACATTTTCCATTCTCCAGGAACTCCTCACCATCTGAAAGCAAAAATTTACCAGAGCAGTTAACAAAAAATAAAAACCTCATTAACTCCCTTTTGGAATTAGAGTGTATAGTGTATGATTGAACTGACAGCTTTTATTTTCATCATGTGTTTATGCTTCCTCGGGTATCACTAAACAGAGACATCTCACTCCCAAGATCGTGCCCACTATCTAAGTATTGATTTGATCTCTGACTTCAAAGCAATCTGAATTTGAATCAGCTTTACTAACTAAAGAATTAAAAAAAAGTAGTCAAAATGGTTTTGTTGCTTTCTGCTGGTTTTCCAGCTAGGACCATCCTTCCCATAAGGGTTTTGATTTGCAAGATTAACAGGAGCTGATTTAGAAAAATTCCTGTCCCCAATGACTGGTCTGTACCTCCAAAACCTGCCAAGACCAGCAGATCAGTTATCAGCAATGCTCTTCACTTGGGTAGCATCTCTCAGCATCCAGAGCGATCAGCATAATCATAATAATAGTGGCAAGCAAACCCTTATTATGTAAACATGGTTGGCAAAGAAAAGCAGAAGCTACAGTCAACTGAACCCATTCTGTGTGGATTAAAAAGAATAATAGGGGGATATCAACATTTATAAGGACCTTTTGTGTTCATCAAAATAACATCAAGCATAATGAAACTTATACATTAATAAAGGTATGATCAGTCCACAATAAAGGGTTATGTTGTGTTTCAGGGCAGAGCAATGTTTGCTACAGTTATAGTTGCTGTTGGTTTCAAAGACTTCAATTGATGTAATTGCTTTCCTTTGGTTTGAGCCTCTTGTTTACGACAACAACATAAATTTACATGCAGTATGAGAATTACAACACATCATTATTTCTGTTGTAACCCAATATTTTTTTTCAACAATTCATGCTGGAAACTTCTTATTTCCTTACTTCAATACTTTTTTTTTCTTGTGATCATTTTCAACTAGCTCTGACTATTTCTGGTCATGTCTTTATTTAAGTCATCCCCATTGTTCTTTCATCCTATTTTTGTGCTACCAGGGCGAACTGCAAAACATTGTGGAGAGAGATAAAGGCATTTTGATGTTCTCTGACTCTTCACAAGTATTAAGCAGTCTTAACTGCTTGAGTGCCTTCAGATGAGGCAATGAGTCATATCTCCCTGCTTTGTCTGTAGGCACTAAGACTAGGAACCGAGGGTCAATCACATCATTATTGAGTCTCCCGTATTACTTTCGCAATGTCCCAAATTCTGAGTGTATCAAATCCTTCACCATTTCTTTTATGCCAGTTTCCCTATTGTCCTCAGTACCATTTTCTTCCTTTACTTTGCTATGTCTCGTGCAATCTCTTTCCAAATGTCCCTTTTTACCACATGCCCAACATTCCACTTCTGACGGACAGTTTGAAGCAGTTTGACCATTCTTCCCACACTTAGAACATGTAGGACTACTAAATCCAACATTCAGGTTTCTTCATCCTTTACCCTTTCTTCAATCAGTGAAATTCATTTGTCCCATCAATGCTTTCGATCTTATTAAATGGCAGGGCAGGCTCGATGGGCCGAATGGCCTACTCCTTCTCCTATTTCTTATGTTCTTATGTTCTTTCAACCCTTGCATTGGACCCTTCTTCTTGCATACTTTTTCAGGTTTTTCCTCTACTAAGACTGCTATTTTATGCCCTTTTAACTTTTCAGCTGCCTCTCTCTGTCTGGTTTCCCATTTCATAATAATTTTCCGTCTTATCCATGTCTCATTGTGCTTGTTGTTTTCCCTATCTCAGCTATTCTCTTAGGCTGCTCGATAAAGTGGTAGAGCATGAGAAATAATTGACCTCAGCCAACTTTGTCCAAGATTTGCACCAAGATTATTTCTTTGAAAGTTGGGATCATAGGTACGATCAAATGCACCGCAAATTGCTGAATGTAAACATTTGGATGTTCTGTTGGTTCCTGCCTACACTTATCCAAAACCTTGATCAGATCCTCCCTATCATACCTAACAGCAGCCATAATATGCTCCCTTAATTAATCTAAAGTTCATTCTTCAGCCTTTACATCCATGGGTAACGCATTGTTTGAAAGGTGAAAAAGGTAAGATGTGAGTATTTGTAACATTCTCATTACTGCTGTTGACTTGCTCTCACTTCTTGTTCCTATGAAACTTGTTCCAATTGTTGATTACCCTCTGAGTAAAGAAAAAATTCCTGGTATCTGTCCTGAAGTTGCTCATTACAACCCCAAACTTGTGTCCTTTTGCTTTACTGTCATGATACATCCTAAATTATTGATCTGAGTTTACTTTCACAATCCTATTTAAAATCTTCTACATCTTTATGAGGAGCCCTCTGAGTCATCTTCTCTCAAGACTGAAGCTTGTCTAGTCGTTGCTAAAATATGTCTGGACTTTGCAGCATGCTGCTATTCACATTTTACTGAAATTAGATCACCTTTAATTCATTCTTTCTCACATCTTTTAGAATTGCTTCTTCTTTCTATATATTTATAGGCTTTTAAAACTCGAGGTTACTATTACTCAATTTCTACATCTCATTTTGTCTCAACTTCCCTACTATGCCTTTCAATCTTAGCAGTTTCCTACACTATAAAGCAACAACAACTTGCATTATATAGCGCCCTTCACGCTGCGTAGTATCCCAGAGCGCTTGACAGTGGCGGAGTCTGACCCCGAGCTAGGGGGAGAGGGAGGGGTTGTAAGCACAATCAAAAAAGAAGTTCTTTAGTCGTGATTTGAAAGTGGGGAAGGAGGGGGCAAGACGGAGGCATTGAGGGAGAGAGTTCCAGAGTTTTGGGGCTTAGTGGCTAAAGGCACGGCCACCGATGGTGGAAAGGAGGGGAAAAGGGACAAACAAGAGGCCAGATCCAGTCGAGAGGAGGCAGCGAGTGGTGAAGTGGGGTGGGGTAAGCAAATCGGATAGGTAGGGAGGTGTGAGGTCGGAAGGAATTTGAAAATGAGTGAGAGAATCTTGAAATTGATCCGTTCAGTAATTGGGAGCCAGTGAAACCGGGCAAGAACTGGTGTGATGCGGGTACAGAGTTTTATGTTGGTGAGAATCCGGGCTGAGGTGTTCTGAATTGGTTAAATTGTGTGTATTGTGGAGTAGGGGAGACCAACGAGGAGGCTGTTTATGATAGTGATTAGCTTCATCCATCTATAGAGTCCCAGTCTATCCCTCATTGCTCCCCTTTCTCATTGTTAAAGTGTAGATGAAACCTCGCCTAACTTGTAACATCTCCTTGAGCTTTTGAATTTCTTTTTTGGCATATAACATCTGACACAGGATCCCCTTTTCTGCTTGCCTTTGACATTGCAGCTTGTATTCTTACAGTAGCTTTCGGATCGCTGTTCTGCCTCTTTAACCATGCTATCCCTTTTCCTAAGTCTTTCTCATCCCCATACCAATCCTGTGCCTGCTTTTTCATATCGGAGGCTTCTGCCTGATAATAATCACCACGTCCCTTCAGGCTATGCATCCTTTTCGTGCATGTTTCCATTACTTGCCGCCTATCAGCTCTTTCTTCTGCCAACATTTCTTCCAGTTCTGCTTAACCGGTTTCCGAATTTCTTGGAGTTTCTTTAAGTTCTCCTGAGTAACCAGAAATTGCTCTTGAGCAGTCACCAACTGCTCCTCAAAGGTCACCAACCATTCCTTTGTACTGGCTAGCTTCTCTTCTCAACGGGAAGTACTGACAGATTCCTCTTTTTCTGCTTTGAGAGCACTCTTTTCCACAAGTAAAGATTTGATCCAAACTGCCTTGCTTTGATCTGTTTTCACTTTCTTTTTCTCATGTAGACTGCATGTCTGAATCAGTGCGCCACTCTCTAGTTCTCGTTAAACTGCTCCTCATGTCTAGGGAGCTTTTTTCTCTACATAGAGTTTCATCAATTCTTCCATACTTATATACTTTATTCCTCCAATTGTACTAAACCCTTCTCACTTTGAATCTCACAATTTAGCTAAAATTCAAAACACTTTAACAATCGTTTTCACGTGTTTCAATTTTCATGATCTTGTACCCATTGAACTTCAACACTTCTCCAACACCCTGTGAGGGTGACAATTTGTCTTGAATTTCATGTGGTGAAGTATGAACTGACACAAACTCTCAAATTGCTTCAATTAGTAAATTTTAATAAAGATTAGCAAGGTTATAAATATCAACATTATACATTTTATATAATCAAATTAATGCTTGCAGCAGATTAGTACAATTCACTGCAATGAGTTGAACAGACCAATACAGTGGTTTTCGTGGAGGAACAATAGTTGATTGTAGTCTATCTCTTTCCTCGCGATTGGTAGCAGTTAGCTACTCTTTCCCCAAACTCAGCTCTTCTGATTCCACCCCAAAATCTCTGCTTCTTTATCCCTTTTTGGTCACATAGCCAGTCTGTTCAACATGTTATTCGAAACACCAGCTGCAAACCAAAGACAATATTTAACTTTTTTGTTCTTTATTCTTCCATTTATTCTGGCCTTTGTGCATTTGCACCATATAGTCAGCCTATATGAAGTAAACATGTCCATGAGACTTTACGATTTTCTTTGGTCAGCTTAAGGCAACCCAGAATTCTGGGATTGCTTACACCCATTATAAGAATTTCAACTTGTTACCTCCAGCTAAAAGTCTCATTTTCTGAGATGTCTGATATCCATCCTCTATGTCTTCGGAACCATTGTATTCCTTAAATAGCAATTGAATTGAGGTATATTATGCATACCCATAAGCAACATCAGTCACTTGATGATGAGTTATCTCTGAATGAGAGAACAGTTGAATCTTGCACCACTTCTGTTTTACCCAAAATTTAATCCAGATTTCTACTCCAATTTCACTAAAACATCAAAAGAAGGACTTTGCGACCAGGAAATTCATGACAGCTCTACCTTTTAGTGTCTTTCTATGCAAGTAGGTCACGTAATATTTGGTTGCTACAGACTGTTTTTCTGAATCTCAAAGATGTAGTAGTTAAAAGCTATGTGCCTTAAATTTCATTTCCACTGAGTAGGAGCTCCTAGAAGAAATTATACTTGCATTAAACATAATTAAAATTAATAGTATAGTCAAGGATCTTCCTACTCTAGCTCACACTCACATGCAGAAATACTGGAGGGAAGAGTTTCAAGACCATTAGACCTGTGGGATGTAAACAGTGGAATTCTTCAGTGGTCAATTAGAACTGCAATAAGAACTGTAAGAGACTTCAGAAGAACACTGGCAGGTTAGTGGATTGGAAAAATGGATAGCAAATCAAACTTAATTCAGATAAATGTGCAGTAATGCACTTTGAGTGGAAGCATAATTATACACAAAATGATAAAACTTTAAAAGGAGTGAAACCACAGTGAGACCTAAGAATGAACCTATCCAACACTTTAAAAATAGAACAACAAATTGACAGAACTGTGAAAACCATAATTGGTTCTCAGGTTTTATACATTGGAGCAAAGGATATAAACACAAAGAAGTAAGGCTAAAATTGTACATATCATTGATTGGGTTGTACTTTGAGTATTGTATCTAGTTCTTGGCACTCTACTTTTGGAGAGATGCCACTGTAGGATCTTCTAAGGCAATGGAATGAGGACAAAGAAGATTCACTTGAACGATAGACAGGCACAAAGAAGATTGAGGAGACATAATATAGGTATTCAAAATATATGGAGTAAATTAAAAAAAAACTATTTCTACTGAATGGTGAGTTGGTATCTAGTTAAGCACAAATTTAAGATAATTGCCAGAAAAAAATAAGGAACAGGATTGGAGATTAGTTTTCTATAGCGCTTTGTCAGGGTATAATAGCTTACCAGAATCTGCAATTCAAGCAGAATCCGTAATAGCTTTATAAAGGGAGTTTGATGGATTTTTGAAAAGGTAAAATAAAGAGGTATGGGAAACTGCAAGTAAGTGGAATCTGAATGGATAACTCTTTCGTAGAGCTGGCAGGGACACTACAATACAATTTACATTTATATAGGGCCTTTCATGTCAGGAGAGGTGTCAAAGTGCTTTGACACAATACAAAATTATATTTATAAAGTACCTTTCACGTTGGGAGGACATCCCACGGTGCTGAACATTCAGGGATTAGGACCCGAGCATGGGCGAGGTTGGGATCAGGAAGGGTGGAGGGCAGAAAGGATAGGACGGTGGCCGAAGGCACAGTTGAAGTGGAGGGTCTTGAGGCATGCCCTGAAGGAGGCAAAAAAGGGAACGAGGTGAAGGGAATGTGGAATGGAGTTCCATAGGTTGGGGACAGAGAGGCTGAAGGCTTAACTACTTTTATCAAGGTGAATATGATGGAGGAGGACTGTTGAACTCACAGTGGGTGGGCAGGCAGAGGAGGTGGAAGAGGATGCTGGACTTCAAAGGAAAGAAGACAGAGGAACATCATGGTGCTATGAAGAGACATGGCTTCTCTATCATATCTGTACCATGTAAAAATTGAGTGAAATCATCTGGAGTTCCTCAGATGTTGATGATTTTTCATATTTTAGAAAATAACATATTGCCCTACAAAGGGCAAGTTACCAAGGCACGAATTATATAATAACTTGCTTTGCTCCTCACCACTGTACTGTGTGCATGAGCTTGTAAAAGCAACAGAGACACCTGAGCAAGAAAAGGTAATGCTGCCAAGAGCAAAGAATATTGACTGTTCTTTTCCAGTTTATTCTTGTGGGGTGAAAAATGCAATGATTCAGAACAGGATCAGTAATTATCGAATGTTTTATTGGGTTTGTTATGAGACACTATACTATTTACTCATTCTTAAAGATTATTTCTAAAGCCACTGATATCACTCACCCCACACCCCTGACTTGGGCACATTGGTGAAACCTGAGGTCACAAAATCATTATTTTTTTCTCAATAGTCCGTAGAGATCTATCCCTCCGTACAGTAAACTCCTGATAACTTCTCACTCCAAGGGAAAAGTGCTCAGTGATGGATTATCTGGAACGGTGAGTTAGGCATATAAATACATAAAAATAAATGTGGCCAAGACATTGACAGCACGGTAGTGACGAGTTAAATGGTAGTGACATTGTAAGCCAGGGTCGAGTTATCAGGGGTTTACTGTATAATATTTCTTTGCAAACCACTTATCGGTCAAACATTGCTTCACCCAGTGACCATCTCCTCCCCTCAGTAGCCAACAGCCCCACACGTACACTGCCTGAGGGGCTGACGTGCAGGCCTCAGGAGGTGCAGCCCAGGGCAGCCCGGTGAGTAACGGCACAGAAACCAGCCTTTGTAGGTGAGGTACCAGCAGAGCTGGGCGAAGGTCGCCCCGACGATCTTCTGAGAAAAGTGGTGAAAAAAAAGGGTGGTTGACACCAGGAGAAAGCTCCAGAGAGGCAGGAGGAGGCTGGCGAGGAGGAAGGTGAGGCGGAAAGCCCCACTAGCTGGGTAGCCATGGGCTAGGTAGAGTTTGAGGATTGAGAGCTCCTCCAAGGTGACCAAGGAGGAGTACGTGAGCAGGAACGACTGGGACGAGATGCTGTAGCCTTTCCAAAGAAAGCCTTGCATGAGGCAGAAGGGCCGATCGGCCAGCTCGATGAGTAACAGTCCTTCTGGGGTCTGGTGAAAGCAAGAGCCGGTGACAGTCTCTATGAGGATGAAGGTTCGCAGGCAAGCCACACTGAGGACAGTGCCAGCCAGCAGCCGGCTCTGGTGTCTCAGTGTGGTGAGCAAACTCCCAGAGGACAGGTAGGAGGTGAGCAGCAGGTGGCCACCGGTCAGGACACACGTCCAACTCCAGGCTGAGTCAACCAGACGCCTGTGGGGGGAGGAGAGAGATAGAGTGTAAGAGAGGTGAGAGACAGAGGGAGAGGGAGAAGTGAAAGAGAAGGAGAGAGTGAGAGATGAGAGAGAGGAGAGAGAAAGAGATGAGAGAGGAGAGAGGGAGAGGGTGTGTGAGAGAGCGTGCATGAGAGAGAGCATGAGAAGGAGCGAGGGAGCGTGAGAGTATGTGAGACAGAGACAAAGAGTGAGAGATGAGAGGAGAGAGTGAGAGGGAGAAAGTGTGAGAGATGGGAGAGAGAGAGAGATTGAAGGTAAGTGAGAGGAGAGAGAGAGATAGAGACAGAGAGAAAGTCAGAGAAACAGTATGAGAGAGGAAAGAATGAAATAATGAAAGAGATAAGAGATAGAGAGAGACAGAGAGAAAGTGTGAGAGACAGAGAAAGAAAGACAGTATGAGAGACGAGAGAGAAGGAGAGTGTGAGAGAGGGGATGAGAGGGTGAGAGTGTGAGACACAGAAAGAATGTGCTTGAGACAGAGAGTGATGTGAGAAGGATTGAAACATACAAACAGACATACACCCACTTGCGCAGAAACACAGACCCACACACATACAGACACACAGATATACACCTACACACACACAGAAGCGAGCGTGCGCACACGCACACATACACATACAGACACTCACATACATAGAAACACGCACAGAGGCATACACAGGTACACAGGCACACATGCAAGCACACACACAGACTCTCACACACACCCACACACACGTGGACACGTGGATGGACACACACAGACACGCACACGCAAGCACATACATACACATGTGCACACACATACACAAAAACACACACATGCACCCACATACACACACACACACACAAACAAACACACACATGCATGTACACACACACAAACACATATACAAACAAACACACGTACACGTTGAAGTAGTTGCGAGGTTTGGCAAACACCACTCTGGGGCTGATCAAGTCCCCCAGGAGCGGGGTGAAGGTGACGAGGAGAGCCAGCCAGAGCTGGAAGTATCTCCTGACAAACCAGTGGCTCAGTACAGCTGCCGTCTGGTCAGTCACTACACACAGAGCAGAGTGTAACAGCTTCATCTAGACACAGAGAAAGAGAGAGAAGGACAGAGAGAGAGAGAGAGAGTGAGAACAACTTTTACAGAGATAGGAACAGACAGCGAGTGAATGTAAGAGAGCGAGAGCTAAACACATGGACACAGCGAGAGTGAGTGTTCGCCAAAAGCAACTAAGAGGGATAGCAAGAGAGAGAACAAGTCAGCAGGAGAGGAAAAATGAGCGAAAGAGGAAAGCGAGAAAGAGAATGAGAGAAAGAAAGAGAGAGAAAGAGGCCTTGTGCACAGGCTTCACGCACGACCCTCACTCGTCCCCTCCCCCTGGATTTGTGTCTAAAATTGGAAACCAGCAGCTGTCAAAATGTCAGAGAGAGAGAGAGAGAGTGAGAAACTGGGAGAGACAGACAGAGAGACAGACAGAGAGCCAAAGAGAGAGAGAGAGAGAGACAGAAAGAAAGAGAGACACACAAAGACAGAGACAGACAGAGAGAAACAAAGAGTGTGAGAGAGAGATGGATAGTGAGACAGAGAGAGAGAGATTAAAAGAGACAGAGAGCATCAGAGAAAGAGACAGGGAGAGAGAGACAGAGAGATTGAAAGAAACAGAGAAAGAGAGAGGGGAATGAGCAATGAACAACGATTAGACCAGCTAGAGTTCTTCAGTCTTCAGAGAAGTCAACTCAAAAGAGAACTTATAGATGTGTATAACCTTTTTTAATAGGATTGAAAAATAAATCCATAAATTTAGGATATACCAAGTTAGCAGAACAAGTGGACATGGGTTTAGAGTTGCAAAGGCAATTTCAGGACATACACCATTTTATTTTTAACCCGGAGGGGAATTAATCGACAGGTTGCCAGAAAGGGTGGTCGAGGCCAGGGAACTGGGACTCATTTAAAAAGCAGCTTGATGCTGTGTACGTTGTTTCTGGAGGGGTGAGATCAGGTGGGCCAAGGGCCCTCTTCAACCAAAAGCAATCCTGTGAGCTTGTGAACCGTTCTTGTGCAATGATTTGCTAGAGAACTATGTTTGGAATGTTGCAATGCAGTCTCCTCATCTGAACTCTGCCAGAATACCATCGCTATTAGCCTATTCAGGGTCCCTGGAATCACATTTCACAGTATAATATTGCAACCCTAGACTATCCAAGCCAAATTAGTACCGGGGCACACACTCAGCACAGTTCAGGACTACGGGCTTATCATCACAGTCGAAAACCTCATTAGCTCCAACAACAAATCACATTCCCTATCACTAACAGTACCAGAGGGGTTCACTCACTGCTAGTTCTTATAATCTGTACCATGAATAATAATAAAAATCCTAGCATTTGATATAGTGCCTTATCACATCATCGAGGCCTCTGAAAAGGCTTTACAGGATAAGAATAATAATCGTTGCGTTTGATATAATGTCTTATCACTTTGCCTTAAAGTGATTCACAGAGTATACTGTAAAGTGGTGTGATTGTGTACTTTGGGGCGAAACACAGCAGCCCGTTGGACACAGCAATGTCCCACAAAGAGCCATGGATTGAGTAATCAATTTTATTTGGTGGATTGTTGGCCAGGGCAACAGGAGAAACTCCCTTCTCTTTTCAAATAGTGCCATGGGATCTCTAACATCTACCTAAACAGGCAGATGGCTGATGAATTCTATGTTTTACTATCAAAAATAATATGGGACTCTATATTATTCACCACGAAACAATGCCAAAAGAAGGAGACAAGATCAAAAGGTATATCAATAATTCCTAAATAATGGAAAAACAAAAACTCAGGAACCTATGAAATGATAGTAGACAGGAATCCAATACCAATCTCAGGGTTCAGTTAATGAACAAATCTCTTCTTATCCCTTTGAGCACAGTGGGTTTTGTTTTATTCAGACATGGTAGGGCTTCACTGTCTGCTACTCTTATTGCTAGCAGTGTCTGCTGCCTTTCTGTGTCCATTCAGCATTTTACGTGTCAAAGATTAACCTGGTTGCATCTTAGATATGACGACAGCAATCTTCCAAGTCTGGGCCTCCTAATCTGAAAGAACTGTCTTCTAAACCAGTTTGAAGCTTTTCTTTTAGATAAAATAAGTGTTCACTTTTCTGTAACAGACAGTGGGACTGGGTAGGAAAATAGAAAACTGGCATTCAGAAAGTTTGAAGTTTATTACAGAGGGGAAAAGTTTAGAAAATATATGGTAAGATTAATTCTGCATAAGAGTCAAATTTAATATTCATAAAAATGTAGGCAGACCAGCGAAGTAAACGAGAATAGAAAGAAAAAAGATAGCAAAGTGGCAACAGACAGTTTGGAATGTCTTCTGTTCCCATCCTTTCTCCAGTACTGTTGGGTGCAACTTGACCTGAGCATTTCAACCTTGACAGAGTGAGAGAGACTTTGGATGATTCTTATGAACCTATTCATAGAGTAAGAACATTACAAAAATAGTAGTGTTTACTTTTATAGTCAGGAGATAATACTATAGGAATAAACCACACCCACATTCAAGGATTATTATTTTAGCTGATGCTTGAATAGCTTTATTACTGTAATATTAATAATTTTTCCAGTATCACTGTGCAGGAGCAGAACATTTTATAGAAGCAAATAGCTCCAGGGTCAATTTCCTAAACCTGCCAGAGATCTAAGGGTTACACTCCGTGAAGCCATGAATTAATACCAACGTTTTAACACCTTTCTAACCATTCAACATCCAGTGTTGTCTGCTACCAGAGATTAAATTGAACAGCATTTATCCAAAACCAGAGATGAATTGCCTACTGTTGAATTGAAATGGTTCGCTGCCAAAGAGAACAAATATTTTGAAGTGCTTTACAAGCAGAACACTAAAAAGGTCTCTTTCAGGAATCATAGTGCTTAATTTCTTCAACATATTGTAAATAAGGTCCTACATAGAAATAGTGCATGTCAAAAAAAACTTACAGACAAACTCACAGTGCCTTTGTGGTGGAAGACAAACTTTAAAATTGGGATTTGTGGTTAAAAGAACAGTGATAAATACGCCATTGTCTGTGTGTGTAGGTGGGGTAGGGATGGGGTGCATCAGTTGAAGGAAAGTTAAAGGAATTTTTCCTGAAGGCATGTTAAACTAGGAATATTGATGACACATTAACCACATGGTCAGAACAGCTGAGGGCTGCAGCACAGAAGCCTTAATCCTGGTTCTAGTCACAATACAAAGAAGATGTGCAGCAGTTTCTATCTAATACCTCTTTCATGTGAATAACAACAACAAGATTCCATTTATAAAGCGCCTTTCACGTCAGGAGGACGTCCCAAGGCGCTGCACAGTTGGGTCAGGACCCGAGCAGGGGGGGAAATGGTCAGGGTGACGGGACGGAAGGGAGGGAGCGAGGAGGGGAAAATGGTCAGGGTGAGGGGTGGGAAGGGAGGGAGCGAGGAGGGGGAAGAGAGTCGAGAGGGGAGCTGAAGGCACGGTCAAAGAGAAAGGTTTTGAGACCGGCCTTGAAGGAGGAAGGGAGGAGGCGGCGAAGGCACTGGGGGATGGAGTTTCAGAGCCTGGGGGCTGAGAGGCTGAAGGCCCGACCACCGATGGTAGGGCGATTGGGGCGGGGGACGTGGAGCAGACCGGAGCTGGAGGAACGGAGGGTACGGGCAGGTAGGTAGGGGGATAGTAGGTCAGAGAGGTAGGAGGGAGCAAGGCCGTGAATGGCCTTATAGGTGAGGATGAGGATCTTGAAATCAATCCTCTGGGGGATGGGGAGCCAGTGGAGGCGAGCGAGGGTGGGAGTGATGTGGTCGCGAAACCTGGTGCGGGACAGTACACGAGCTGCAGAGTTCTGAATGACCTGCAGCTTGTGGAGGGAGGTGGCGGGAAGGCCGGCGAGGAGAGAGTTCCCATAGTCCAGCCTTGAGGTGACAAAGGCGTGGACCAGGGTTTCAGCAGCGTGAGGGGTGAGGTAGTGCCGTAGTCTGGTGATGTTCCGGAGGTGATGGAAGGCGGTGCCAGTTGTGGTGCAGATCTGAGGGAGAAAGGACAGCTCAGGGTCGAACAAAACGCCGAGGTTCCTGACTGGCTTTGAGAGGTGGAGAGTGCAGCCTTGGATGCTGATGGTGTCAGCGCCTGAGGTGCGGAGGCGCTGACGCGAGCCAATCAGGAGGGCCTCGGTTTTTCGCACATTGAGCTGAAGAAAGTTGTCTCTCGTCCATGACTCGATGTCAGACAGGCTGTCAGGACATCGGTGGTCGTGGAGTTGAGAGTAGAGGAGGAAAGTTAGAGTTGGGTGTCATCCGCATACATGTGGAAGTTAACTCCATGTCTGCGGATGATGTCACCAAGGGGGAGCATATAGAGGGTGAAGAGGAGGGTACCGAGGACAGAGCCCTGAGGGACACCACATGAGACAGTGCGGGGGGTGGAGGAGAAGCCATTTGTGGAGAAGTGCTTATTACCCACATAGTTTGGAATCTGGTCCTTGTGGAGAACTGAGTTGGACCGATTTCCAAATTAAGACTGAATTCAAGTCTTCTTCCCTCAGATTCTCTGCAACTTTAAATTTGAAGGCAAAATGGTAAGACAGGCCAAGATCAGGTAGAATTTCATGCCACGTATCGCCGCTGAAAGTCTTATTTCAGCGTGATCTGAATGAGATTCCTTCTGCACCTCTATTGTGGCTTTTAAAGCCCTTATATAACAGTGAGTACAGAAGCCTGAAAAAAAGGTCACTGCTCCACCTTTTTATGAGTTATGACTAATAGCACATAAAAATTGCCACTTTAGGTAGGAAATAGGTTTTTAGTAAACACAGTAGATGCAAAGATGTGTTTACATAGAGGGAAACAAAAAAGCTTTCACGATCCCTTTCAACTCTTGTGTCAGAGGATTCAAAATTATCTGCATAAAGGTATTTGAGCATGAGCAGTGTGATTTTTTATGGACATGGATGTGTTGTGTGTGTATATGTGTTTGTGTGTGTGAAGTACAACTTGATATATGTGTAAGTAAATTATGTATCATGTTAGTTTAAGAAAAGTTTGAACAGAATTTTTAATGGGGATGATGCTATTTTCTTCTCAGCATTTGTCTACTAAAATTGCTATACAACAACAGCAACTTCCATTTATATAGTGCCCCTCATACAGGGTTGGTTTCAGAGCGCTTAACAATGACAGAACCTGACAGTGAGCATTTATGTTATGAATATATTTAAGTTTTCTTTCAAAGAGATGAAAGGTTGAGTTTGTGTTGTGCAAATGCTACAATGTTAGCTGGTTCAGATAAATGATAAGTCATCATGTCATCTGTACCTGACTACTGGAGCGCATTGAAGGAGAAAATAACTTTTAGCTAATCCAGCAAATTCAGGAGAAGCTATTTCTCCTGGACTGAGCTATAATGTATCATCGCTTTATGCC